ATAATTTAAAATCATTGCTACTTTTAATCCCAGCAAAACCAATGATGAACATCCTATTTATCTATTTAAAAGAGTCTACTGAAAAGTGCATCAAGTTCTTAGACTCAATATATTTTGTGACAGTGGGTCAGATTATATATTGTTGGATGCAATGCCAAAGAGTTAAAGTTTTACATTCTAAATGTAAAAACAGGAGAACAAACATTATCAGAAAAGCAAAACCAGTGCTGTACTTTGCCATTCATTATTGCATCCAATCCTCTTTCTGTTTTTACAGAGTCTTCTTGATTTATTCTTCATTTTTATTTATGAAAAACAACAAACATTAGAATACCAGAAATTTACCGCAAATATAGCGGCATTTGTTTTCATACAGTATTAGTGAAAAGTTGCCTATATAGTCTGTTTGTTCTGTTTCATTTTCATGTCTCTAATTTATTGTTATGGAATATGATAAGGAGAAACTGTAAAAGATGCTTTCCCTTTTGCAATACTAAATGTGATATAGTGTTCAAGGAAAAAAAATTTAGTTTCTAAGAGCAAAATGGTGACCCATGGCTGAGAACAAGTTTTGTTGGCTGGTACACTCCCTTAAAAACCCTTGTGGGGTTTTTATTCTGCATTGTGAAGTATGTGAGTAATATAAAAAATCCGCAAACCTTCCAGTAATATATTAAACATACTTATTACAGAAACCAAGAAAACTGAAAGAGATCAAATCTCAAGAACAATGCAAGTCTCTCTTGCAAGAAACACTGTTTAATAAATTACAAATACAGCATCATATGAAATAGAAGGATAAATTCAACTTTTCTGACTGAATTTATGAGAAAAACCCTGCACAAATAGAGAAATTTTTGTTACCAGCTGTGATGGTAGAATTGAAATATTGCAAGAGAAAATTATGAAAGCTTTAGAAAAGGTAGTCTTCTTCTACATTAACTCTTAGAAATACACGTTATGACTGTTAAGTATTTTAAAACATCAGGGTAGGAATAATGGATGGGGTCAAAACTCCATCTGTCCAGGGTAAGTTTCAAAATGGGCAAACAGCAGGAAACTAAGGGAGAAAGCATAAAAAGGATAGACACAGCTCTAATTCATCCACTGTCTCCTGTGATTTTCTGCATCAAGAATTTCCTGAATTGACATTGGTGTCTGTGTAAATCTAATCTTTGAGTTTGTCTAAGCAATGCTTGAACTGGCATAAACATTTTGTATTCACAACGTCCTGAAGCAAAGAGCTGCATAGCTTACTTACATGAAACATAAAGAAATACCTCTTTTTTTTCACTCTGAACCTATTTCAATGAATGTGAATATTGGAAGGGAGAGTGAATGTTTGCTCATTTGTCTACTTCTGTTCTTTTTTATAATTTTAATTATTATTACTTCCATTAGATACCACGGCTTAGACAAAAAGTCAGCAACTCTCTGTCCATAACTGGGATAATCTACTCATGTATGAACTGAAAGCTCATCCCAGAAGAAAATTAATATTCTACTGCCATTCTGATGAAAAGTATTTTCTTCTGCAAAAAAGTTTTACAGGTGGAAAAAAAACCCCAAAACAACAAACCTTAGAAAATCCTTCCTTTTGAACTAGAACAAAATTTCCAATGAAATTTGAATCAGAGAACACATTAAAAATTTGAAACGGTCAACCGAGATTGTTTTGCTTAACAATTTTCTGATTCTGTCACTAAGAAAAATGCAACCTTCTGTTCACGAGAAAATAACACTAATTTGTATGTCTGATTTATGGAACAAGAACTATAAACCTCTGTGCAATCAAATGATTTTGTCCTGACCATGGCACAAGAAATTTTTCAAATACACAAGGGAAGAGAAAGAAGAAACACTGAACATGGAAAATCTCAGGTTCTTCTGCAAGAATCCCTAGATGTCCTGGATTGCATGGTAAAAACTTTCATATTTAGCTAGGAACTGAGGGAAACCATAAAAGTATTATTTTGTATTTGGACAAGGAATTAAACATATTTCAAGTGAAATTGTCTGAGCTTTCTGAGTCTGCAAAACTATACTAAAAATGTCACAAGAGCACATAATTATTTTCTCTCTTTCACATATTTCTTACCAGATTCTTCTGTTTCACTTACTGGCCCGTTTTCATAGGAACCACCTATATGTCAAATTATTCTGGTGCCTCTGTAAAGTCTGAAGGCTGTTCTGTGCTTGTCCTGGCATAGTTCATAACCATACAGATTACATGTTTTTTTTTAAATATAGAAGATGTGTAGGATGGCTGCGATTCAGCAGCTGGATCCCATTCTACTATATGTGATGGTTCTCCACTGCCCCCCACCATTCCTTATATGAAGCATTCCAATTGTGGTAGAGGATTAGCAGCCTAACTTAACCAGATGTGGCAAAACAGTCTGCAGAAATTTGACTAACTGCAATTAAAATTTTCTTATTTTGCCCCTTTGTTCTGTGTTTTTTAACCTAAGTATGAATTTCCTTCTGTCGAATACACCTTTCACTTGTCCTCAGTCCACCACAACTACCCTCCTCCATGCTGATCTCTCTTTTCTTTGACCCCAGCCTTGCTTTGTCTTTTGAGCAGACTGGGTATGAGTTCAACTGAGGCTTTGCAATAAGCCTCAGCAAGGAAAAAAGTAAAACCATTTACACTGTCCAAGGGGAAATGGCAAGAACAGCACTGGATTCACTGACTGGTCTTTTCTTTCCTTCTTGCAAGGGGTTCTTCAAAGAGTTGAAGGTTTGTGAGGCAGCAAAAGGTTCTGACCTAAGTTTTCCTTAGGAACCCAATACTTGTTTCCTTAGGAACACTGGATTCCTTAGGAACCCATCACTGATAGCCACCTTAAACTTCTCTCGTACCAGTGGAGATGCTTTGGCACCTCAGGATTAAGACTGTAGTTAAACTGAACTCTAAACAGAGGTATTTATCTCTTACCACTCAAAACAGAAGGAGCCTAATTAGGCTGAATCCTAACTTAAATGCATAAAGACAACAATTGCATAAAGAAAAATGGAAAAATCTGGGTCTAGCCCTATACCTTCTGCTGACTGCAACCACGTTGATGAAGGAGAACAGAAAGACGGCTTTCATTAGCTCCTCCTAATAGAGAGTGGTCCACAGCATGCATGTTCCTAAACGTGCCCCTGCCTCTAGTACAGGCAGTCAGGCCATGAAAACCCTAAGAGTTGTTATTTGTGAGCCATTAGAAGGAACTTTTCGGAATTGTTAAATCTTTAATGTCTTGGGAAAAGAGATGGCAGCCCTAGCAATGCTGGAGGAGGTGTGCCCATGTCCAAGGAAGGGCTAAGCACGCAGTGGTAGGGCACCCATGGATATACTTTCAACATGTGAAAGCACAAACTAGAAGATGGATTTGGTGCAGGACTCATCCATAAGAAAACTCAAAAAAATTCTTTAAAATTTTTAGACAAAACTTTCATAACAAGAGTGTAGAGGATTTGAGGGAGGGAAAAAAAAGACTTCTTAAAAAGGAACTGATAGAAAAGTTCTGTCCAGGTTTACAGAGTAAAGAAAACTATTTAAATAGGAAGACAGCCTTTAAGCCAGTAAGTTTGAGCTTGGGAAAAATATAACTCCTTTCGTTGTTTATGCATTTACTACTGCTTTTAGGGAGTATCAATGACTTAAAAATAAATACATGTAAAGATTTTGCAAAAGATCAGGACCCAGATAATATAACAATTCAATTTCAATATCTTGATAAAAGCTAAAACTTGATCACATTTGGGTTTTGGGCTAAGAGGAACTTAACTGCTTCCAAATCAAAAAGAGAAGCAAATAAACCCACAAGAAAAGAAAAGTAAAAAATTTCTAAAAAGGGAAAGGCAGGGTAATTAAGAAGTCACCAACATATATCCACATATTCTAAATGCCCTAGACTCCAACATGCATTCATATATTTAGAAAGATTCCTTTCTCAAATACATTGCATACATATGCAACCTCGTGTATATAAACACATACATCATCTGTATCTTCCTCCCTATTTACTTTCAGCAAATGCCTCAAACAAGACAAAACTGAATAAATTTTCTTCAGGTACACACTCATGCAGAAAAGCAACAGAAGCCTAGCAAATTATACTAAAAGCTCGCAGTGCACATGGAAGATTAGTCCCATCAAATACTTCAGGAAAACTAAAAACAACTTCCCCAAAAAATCCCCCCTCCAAAACAAAATCACCTGATACCATTGCAAATCATAGCTGCTTCTCACTGCATTACTGAGAAACACATTTGCAACCCTGGAATTTCTCTCTGACAGATTTCAAACTTCTGCCATCTACTAAGTACTGACATGCTTGAACTGTTAAAAAAATGGATTATTATTTTTTTCAATAATGTGAAAAGTATTTTTCACCCCTCATTTCCAAAAACAGCTGGAGTAGTTTGAAATAAATGCTCAAAAAATATCTCAACTAGTACAGGACTGCCAAATTCCAACAAGAAAGGTAAAATAACTGGGAAAAAGGACAAGTCACTGAAAATCTTTTCTTAAAATGGAAACACTTGTGCAATTTCAACTCCCCATTACAAGCATTATTATGTCCTCTTAAAGTAAAAAACCACAAAATTCTCTTTCAAGTGGACAGTTGGGCTATGGTCTGAAGGCCTCTTGATTTCAGTCTTACTTAGAAAAATCAAAGGAGTTTATCTTAATGAAGACAGAGCTTAAAAACATAAGGTTCTGGTTTAGTGTAAAGACTTGTCCATAGCCTGCAATTTTTAACACATGCACTTTACAAATAAATACAAACAAATTGTATTTTGCACAAGCTTTAAAACTTTTACTGATCCTCTTTTTTCTTCAGTCTATTTTCTGTTAGAATCTGTACAAGACGTGCCACAGGCTCAGGATTAAGAAATAATAAAAAAAAAAATCAACAACTACACACACACAAAAAAATCCAACTCAATCCCCTTTCAACTTACAAAAACGTGCCTCATAGGGACAATAAAATCCATGTAATTACCTGCTGCAGGATCTGTAACCGCTTGACTGGTGATGCCAGATGGTGGTTCTTGAAGCTGGTATGTTGCATTTGTGGAGGGTGTCGTAGGGCTGGTGTTGGTGTTTGTCATGTAATGTGAAGGATATGGTGAGCTATTATAATATTGTGCATATTGGCCCTGGCCAAAACTGGGATAAGAGGGATATTCCTGCAAGACAAAAAAGCAACTGAATAGTCCATCAAAGTTTTGCTACTTTTTAGTATAAATTCCAAAATATAACCACAAACACATGTCAGACTTTGAGCAGTATGCTTCCTGGACTACATGCTATAGGACCTAAAACTGCGAGACAGTAAAACAATATCTAAATTGCACATAATTTAGTATGTCTTCTCATACAAGTAGTTAATTAGACACACTGCTGAAGATGTGTGAATTAGAATATCAACCTCAGACAATTAGTTCTAGAATTGGAAGACAACAAATTGCAGAAAAACATTTATAAATCTTAGTTTAACTTGAAAGGATGCTAATTTCTTTCAATAAGCTATTTAAGGGCTACATTTTTTCAGTGGATGAGAATTCTAAGTTGGTCAAAGTTTGCTGAGCTCCTATTTACAAATTTACCTGCTGTGAACTATTAAATCCAGTAGAATTTGTGAGGGAATTATTTCCTGCATATATTCCTGATGATGTTGTAAAACTGCTGCCTGAAATAAAAAGAAAAATTACATACATTACTAAAACAAAGTATCGGAAAATAACTTCCATCACACGATTATATCATAAGGTTATGGCATATTTGTAATATTTCCCATATGTTGCCTGATTTGGCTCTACAACATGTTAATATATGGAAAGTGATAATTCATAGTTCCTACACTATGTGTTTCATTACTGCAATAAAAAAATCCCTTGAAATTTAGACAGGAATTTTGGAGTCACCTCAGCTCTGATTGCATATTAGGCTATCCCACTCCTCCAAATAATACCCAGCATCGTAGAAGTAATGAGTTTCTTTACTTTTTTTGTTGAACAGTAATGGCAAGCCTTGTCCCAAGAGATGCCATCTCCACTCACGAAAGCCCACTGGCTTTGTTTCTCCTTCCACCTTTGAGAACTGTGTCCTCTCCCCTTCCTGAGCCTCAGCCCCTCACAGAAACAACAAAAGCCATAACTCCCTCCTCCAAACAGCTCAGTCCAACTGCAAAGCCATTAGGATTCACTAATCGATCATACACGGCCTTGGGCTGCAAATCTTTTCTTTTTTGATAGAGTCTATTAGGCATGACACAAGAGAAAAAAAGTATCCCTGAGAAGGGAGACCCAAGATTGAATTTAGCTCACATACTGAATTACTGCCTTCATCTCCCTTCTCCTGCTTTCATGAGCCACCAAAATGAGACAGATGGGGCTCTCAGGTTTAATACCCAACCTGAGAAGCTGTTCCACTAAAAGGGCAGCAATCCCCTTTTAGCTGTTCTGCCCTCACTGGTTATAACCCGGGAGTGACACAGCCACCAGCTCAGGCATATGGATGCACAGGGTGAAGCTACATAAGCCACCACAGAGTCTGTAATCAGGCAACCTATTGAACTTGTCCAGCAGGAGAACATCACCCAGTGCAGATTATTAAAGCACACAAGTTGTTTACAGCCTCTCTCACCACCAGACTTGCCTTAGTGCAAAGATATACAGAGAGCCTGGGAGCAAAAGCTTGCAGGTGAGCAAAGGAGACAAGGAGGGATGAAAATCAACAGAGAGCCAGGCACGCAGATGCACCAATCCCCTGAGATAACCAACAAAACCTCAATTAACAACCAAATTCTATGCAGAGGTTACTCATCGGGAAAAGTGATGTTTCTTGCAACTCCAAAGAGCACAGAATGCAGGCAGGGCTGCATGCTTAGTACAACCCCCTAAGGACAATTGTGAGCTATCTACTTCTTGAAATAAAAAAAACCTCAAAACCAATAGGTATCCTAGCTATGAGAAGTCAGAAGGGAAAATACTTACATGCTTTGATTGCAAAAGTAACTAAAAGCACATACAAGCTAAGTCTCAAACAAAGAAGGAGATGTGAAGTCAAACAGCAATGGGAGTAAATGATGAATCTTAAACTTAACATATGATAATGACTGTAAACGTTTCTCTTCTATCTTCTATTAATGCAAAAGCTTTGTGGCTGTTCATAGATGCTACTAATCCTGCAAACTAAAATCAGATTACTTCAGCAGAAGAGTTGACATCCAAGTTTAGCAGATAGTACAGATAAACAGTACTAATGAGAAAAACATGTTGTTTTAAATTTAATTTAAAATTGGAAAACAGATGTTATTTTTTTTTATTATAACAAACCCCAGAGCCAAAATACAGTTGAAAAATATTTTAAATTGCAAAACTTTGAAATGATATTTTATTTCTAATAGTGCTTTGGCTGGAAGAATGTAAGTCACTGTGTCTCTTTTTATTTCTGTAGATATTTTTGAGTGATGCAGTAATACATTCAAACACAGGATTTAGAGGTGCACAGTTTGAGCCACTCTAAAAAAAAATACAAAAGAGATATAAAAAGCCTCTCATAAGAAAAAAAAAAACCAAAGGTTTTTTTTGAGCTTCTGTCAAAAATTTGGCAAATAATTTGCAAGAGCAAATGAGTAAAGTAATCACATGCCAGCCAGCATCTCTCCCTCTCAGACAAAGACACACACATACTAACTTGCAGCTCTCTCTCTTTCATCTCATGGTCAGCACTGGCTCCTATGGAGGAGGGGTAGGGGTCTCCTAGACCGTAACAAACATGAAGCAGGTTTCTCAGAAACAGCTCCGTGGGCCACCCAGAACTACAGGCCTAAAGTTCTTTTTAAAATACTTCAGTGTTGCCATTTGTTTTTTAAGTATTCAGCCATAACATGGCATAGAGCTGCTGTCCTGTCTTAGCTGAGTAAATACAAAAATAATAATCGTTACAAAATGCACGAGATTTACTGCTCTAACTTGGCCAGCTACGTAGCTTTAAAATGTGATAAAAGCTGTAAATTGCAGGTCAAAGGTCTATTTTGCCAAGAGCTCTGACCCACATTAAAGCTGGGAATCCCGGTCAGCGTCAGAAGGCTGACGGACCCTGCTGGGAGTAGGGAGCAGGCTCCAGGCACGGGGCTTGCTGCTGTGCTGCTGCCGCGAGGCGTGGGATGCTGTCCTCCCCCGTGTATTGGCCACAGGAGTCCATTTGCTTTCCTGGCTCAGTCTCCTTGCCATGGGCTATGTCTATCATCAGGGTACAATGTATGTGGCAGAAGTTTAGTGCAGCTCTCTTGGGAAAGCCGAAGACGGCCAGATGGGCTATTTAAACTCAAGGTTTCTTCCGTTTGCTTACAGTGCTTAAAAATCCTTGGCAAACTCTCCTTTGTTGTCCTAGTAACTGGTTGGCCATCCAGCACAATATTTTTATACTGTATAATAATAACCAAATACCTTAGTGTTTACTTTTTTATGGTTGATTTCCCAAACCAATTGGATAGTTAATCGTCACAGTCTTGGTAACTAAAACAATGCTGGTGCTCATCACAGGCATCCTACCCTTCTAGCAGTAGGATACCGAGTGCAGGGTAAAAGCCATCTTTAATCACAATCAAAGGATACTCAAATAAGACAGTTGCAAATGGAGGTCTTTCCTTGCCGCTCCCCCCAGCCCTTCTCCACTTCATTTATCCTCACCGAGCAATCCTTATAACTCTACCTATATAGGAACAACGGCCCATTCCCACAGCCATTAGTCATGTAAGTGGTCTTTCAACATCTATGAAGCAAGTTATATGAAAAACAGCTTAAGGAACACATTTGTTAAGTAAGGGCGGGGGGAGTGGGGAGATGGGGTGGCAGAACTGCCTGAGCCCTCTTCTCACCCTCTCCCCTATGCACCCCCTGTTACAGGGATGATAAATTTGTAACGAACAAAAACCTGATTACCAGAATAACCTGAGCACGGAGTCACAGGTAGCGATTCTCCTTATAATTTTCAAAAGTTGGCAGTCTCTCCCTGCACTATTGTTCAGTGACTAATCACGCTGTAATTTCAGCAGGGTCAGGAAAAGCACTGGATTTAATTGGCTGCACACGCACCACGAGGCAGAGTCTCTACATTGCAGGAAGACATTCACCCCAGGGAGAGGAACCAGAATTAACTCCAAAGCTTTCGAGCACGAGGTAACCCCAGCCAGGGAACACGAGCATGACAACTGCAAGGCCACTAGGAAATCCCCTTTACTGCAGGCAAGAACGCAGGGCCCCGAGCACACTGTCATGTAACACATGGTTGTGAAGTAGGTTGTGGGATCCATTATCTCCATTTAGCAGCTCAGCAGCTGCATGCAGGAGATGAAGAATGGCTATTGCAGGCTATGACAAGGTTGAGGCTGCAGCCTGCCCTTATAGTCCTAGAGGGGAAAGGGAGAAGAAACTCATTTTCCTCTCTGGAAGTTTCCGCACAAACAACTTAACAGCAGCAGCACTAACCCTGTCTTCTGACATGAGAATAAATTTTGTCCTTTGAAACTATGAATAGGTTCTTCTTCCAAAACTAAATGAGGAAAGGGAAACATGTTTCTGTTTACTTTTAACAGCTGTTCAACCTAAAGGAAGAATTAAGTCAATTTAAAGTTATTTCAAATACAAAAGTTAGCCTAATGAAAACATAAAAAATACATATATATTCTCATGTATAGTATACACATATACTGTCAAACATTTAACTGCAAGAAAGACCTGTTCAGCAATGTGATTCTTTTCTACTTAGCAATTAACAATTCCACCAATATTTTCATCTGAAACGTTCCATTCTTATGGTCTCTAATGTTTCTGTAGAAGACCAGTCCTTCCCTCACCCACACATTGTGTTGTTTATGAGTACAACAGAAAGAACATACACACCACAGGGACCACTCAACTCTGACCTGTGGTTCTTCTGCCCAAGCCAGACTGTCAGTGATCTGTTGACTTCCAGAGGTGGGCAGCTCACAGCCCAAGTACAGCACAGCTGGGGCAGAACCCAGGCTCAGACCCCCTCCTCCCTCAGCCCTGCAGACAACAGCATCATGAAATCAATGCCTCCGACTCTCTTCTTGTTAAAACTTCTCAACTGGGTCATCATTAACACATTTCTTTTTGAAGAATATTTTTAGAGCCTTGCTTTTCAATGTGTACTGCTGAAAAGCTTTCCAAGATGTTACTGTTCCATTTCTTGACAACTGACACCCTTTCCTGAGCTTGACAATTCTGATCTTATACACATTTTGCATATTGCAGAAAACAAAACAATACACTCTATGGCAGACCTCTATGCAGTCCATTGACTGAGTCCTAGCTCTGTTCTACATTGTATGTGCAGGCTATCTACGAAATGTCAGCATTCACTTACTCTTACCATTTTCCAACAAACACTCTCTCATGTTACCCCATGCTGCCCCCCCTTTCTTCTCTCTATCGAATGAGTTTCCCACAAACATCTGCAAAACTACTACTTCACTTTTCTGCCTAAAATCCCATTTTATTGATATCCCTCTCCTCTGTATCTTACAAAAAACAACTTCAGAGCTGTTAAACAACCAATATGGGGTATCGACTGTTTATTATCGCTAAAGTGTCAGCTTTATTGTTACACTAGGCCCTTCTAGCCTTTGTGTTTTATTTTAGCCTCCAACTTCCATAGGACTATGTTTTCATTTGGCTATATAGGTTAGCACAACAGGATCCTCTGTATAGGACTGTGGCATGGAGGTACTACTGCAACAGAAATTATTGGCAACACAGACATGATTTTTCAATAACACTATTTCCTAGAGACCATGAATTATCAGTTCCTTAAAAGTTGAAATGTTGATCCAGAAATTCCTTGTAGCTGCTGCTGGCAAGTATTTTGAGCTCTCTCCTACAAAGAGGTTGGATTTTTTGGGAGGGTGGGCAGGTGTGGGTTTTTTGTTCGAGTTTTTTGTATAGCTATCTGCTGAAAGCAAAACCAATAACCTGTTTATGGTTATATTTACACCGATGAGTAGAAGATCATCATTATTCAGCACATAGATGATTCTATCCTTCTTACTTGTCAGAGCACATTACAATTCATCAATACTTCAGACATCAGATGGTCACTTCTACCCTACAGAGCTACTCAACACACAGTTCAAAAAGGGATTATAAAAAAAAAAGAGCAACAAAAACCACCTCTTTTGTGTCTGAGCAAAGACTGGATCAATATACCCTTAAAATTGTGGAACAAAAGCAAACCTCATTCGCTTTGTCTCTGAAAGCACTTCTGCTTCAAGACATTTCATGGAGTGTTTACTTGACAGAGCACAGTTTAAACTGAGCTAATAATAATAATAAAGAAAGGTGCTAAACTTGAAAAAAAAAAAAGTGGTCCAATTCTGTGAATGATCACATATTTCAACAACTCTAAAATCTGCAAGACATCTGATTCCTACTGACAAATTCAGGGGTGAAAAGGCCTGCAGTGGACATCCAAAATTAGCTATTTCTAGCAATCAAAGATTTTTTAAAATATCACTTAAAGTGGTGCAAAATCCAGAACCAGGTACACCCAGTGACTTCTTGATACAGAAGGGGAAAAAGAATTGTGAGAACAAGGTGGAAAGATATTAAGTAAACTAAACAGGCAAGAAAGGCTACAAAACATAATTGATAATAATAGCCTGCACATACAAAGACTTACAGCTTTTAAATAGACTTCAAAGAAACAGACTTCAATCATTACTTAGGCACCTCCACAGCTGCAGTAGGTATTTTTATCTTCTTGTCCCTTCTCGAACACACTCAGGTGTCAAATTATATTTGGCACTTCCTAAATCCATAATCCTCACACGTTTTCCAGGACTTGCTTTGTCTCGTTCACTATTTGCTAAACTCTAAATTATTGTTATTTGGAGATACATTTTTATTGTAATAACACTAGAACACTTCACTATTTAAAATTTAATGAAGGAAGGGATCTTCCAAACTGCTAAGAGCTGGTCTGTCGCTGCTCTCAACAAAGGCAATCATCATTTCAGCTCCAACTGCAATAACATCAGAGATAAGTGCTCAAGCAAACATTAATTTTTATTCCAGGAATGTAAAGAAATAAGAAAAAAAAGAAACACCCCATAGCATTAACTGTATCTAATTAATGGTAATATCTGTTTATACAGACCTTGCATCTGGTAGCTATAGGGAGCCTGTCCAGGTTGAGGTGTGCTAAAACTGGCACCGTAGCTTAGAAATCCTGTCTGTCCAGGTGACTGTGACTGTGCCAATCCACCTTCTGTCTTGATGCCTGCCCACAATGCACCTAAATCAGTTAGTGACAGCAAATCTATTTGTTCATATTCAAACAGGGATGGAAAATAAAATCACTTAATTAACAGCACTTTTAACATACAACTACTATTTGCTTTCATGAGAGAACAAATATTGAGAGCATGCACAAATGAACAGGGTAAAAGCAGTCTAAAAGCACTCAGAAAACTGAAGTTCACCAGGGAGAGGTTAAATTCAAAACTGTGTTTCCAATAACTGCAAAAGAAATTTATACATGAACAGGAAGTTGCATTATTCCTGTCTTCCTTTCCTGCCAGAGGTAAGCTTTTCCATATACTCATGACATTACACAGAGGTAGATTAGCAACTTTATATGATTTTAATGAAACATAGCACAGCCAAGCTCTCCTGCCATCTACTCATTAACGACATAATTGAGATTTGCATCGTATAATATTCCTACATGAAAATTACACAGCTCCTAGTGCTCCTTAATTTCTAAGGAATTAGAAGTGGATAAAGAGAACTAGCAGTATTAAGTGTAATGATGATTTTTCAAAGCTAATTAAACACTATAGGAGGCATTCAGTCTTTTAACAAATAAACACCTAATAGACAAGAACTATTCCTGAAGCAGCCTCCCAAACTGGGAAAAAATAGCAGAGTCATTAATCTGCACTGACAGGGAAATCCATTACACATCACATTACACTCTCATTTCTAAACTTAATTATAAAAGAATCTGAAGTCTGATCAATAACGACTTGCTGCCCAAGTTCAGTGATTCTTCCCCCAATTTGTAAGGCAACAAGCAAGTAAATATCAGCAAGTAAAATACCGACGAAATTCAAAAAATAAGCCTCTGTCTCTTAGTTTTAATTATAAGGTTGTCCCAACATGAACCACCATTTAAAAATAATTATAGCCAAAGCAATGGAAAAGTGATACAATATTCTTAGGTTTCACTGTGGCATTCAGTGATACCTCATTGTTCAGAAACCACCGATATTTGAACTGAATTGTCTAAGTGTGAATTAGTAACATTCCTTTGAAAATTACTGTTAATTTAAGTCCATTTTCTGGTTGGATTTTTTTAAACAATATTCAACAGTGTTTGAAGGCAGGAAAGGGCTGAGAAGTTACTATGTTTGCAAAACTTCAATACCTCTCTATATACAAATGGCAGCATATTTTCTGCCATCTAAATAATTATTTTTCAACTGCTGTCATTATTTACCCTTAATTCCTTCTGCCAGACCTGTTAACTGCCAGATTATCCCTGTTTGCTTCTTTTTCTCTGATGCTTACTTGCTTCTTCTGTTTTATGTTACAATTAAACTGTCCCAATGACAAATCTGACACCTCATTTTCAAGGGGAAACTCCTGCTATGGATGATTTGGTATCAGTGATCCTTATTTGCTGTCTGTTTAAGGACTTCTGAAAGGCTGATTAAATATTGCTTAGAGAAAGTTTGACTAAATCAAGAATTAAATTTGCAGTCTAAATTTTTTTTAACAGTGTGATTTAATTGTCCATCTCAGACCAAGTGGGAGGAGACGATCAAAGGCAGCAGCAGGAGGACGCCACTTGAGTGAAGACAACTTGGCACTCATATGCCCTTTTGCAAACCTCCATGCTATGAAGAGCCTTTCATCTCCTGAGACTTACTCTTCCCACCTGCTCTCATCCTGAAGGCCTTCACTCATCAAACCTTGATGCTCCCTTCTTTTCTCAAGTCTAATGTATGCAAGGAAGTGGGAAGGGAGAGTGAGAAAACACAAGGGGACTGCCAGGATCTGGAAAGCAAAGAAGTTGGTAAGCAAGGCCTTTGCTAGAAGCTGCTGCTGGAGCAGGTAGGAGGAAAGAGTTTCAGGAAATTCTCCAACCTCCTCAGGGGCTTTGCAGATGAAGCAGAGCCAGGAGCCCCTGGGCAGCAGCTGTCAATGGCATTCTCCTCCACCCCCCTTCCTGCCTGCATGGCTGCACTGCTGTGGAGGTGGGGAAGTGGAAAAATGAAGAGGATAGAGGTGCATTTGAGACAGCATCTTCCCAAACTTTGCCCTAGAGAGAAAACTTGAGAAAGGCTGATACGGGAATTCATGAATACTTTTTCTTCCAGTAGACCCAGAGTAAAGAAACAAAAAGAAAGAGCCCCCCTGCTCAACTCAGTTTTTCGTTTCACATATGTCATAAGTCTTCTCTCTTTATACCTGATGGAAGTGGAAGATTTCTGCCTGGATGAAACAAAGGCAAGACAGAGGGTACATGAGGCCTAAGCTGCAGACCAAAGAGAAGAATTTTGGCTCTAAGCAAGGTTTCAGTTCTTGCCTGTTGCAAATGAGCATCCCAATGCTCCCTGTATAATTTAATTTGGGAGCATAGATCATATGATGTGCCTTAAATATGCAAAAAATACAAATGATGCTAGGTCCTAAAAATTTTTAATAGTTATTTTCTTTTAAATATTGCTCTAATACAGTACATCAGTAAGAAGTACCTTAGTCCGAGCCACAAATCACTGTCTGAAAAGAATAAAAGATGTAAAAATCTACTTTTCTTATGAACTGAGGGTTTCAGTGGTCAAAATCAGCTCTGCAATGTAAAACGTTAGGCAAAATTATTTGAAGTCTTAGGCATGGGGGATGGACTAGGCAAGAAAACAAAACAAAACAAAAGAGCAGGCAGGCATGTTAACCCCTGAGAGCAGTTGCCAAGTAAAGCAACTCTCAATTACAGCTCCGACGACAGCGAGACAGCTAAACTCAAGTAGTGAAATCAAGGCCTGGCTAAAGTCAGTGGGAATTTTAGAGTTGACTTCAGTGAGGTCAGGATTTCATCCAGAGGAACCAAGCAAAAAACCAAAAAAGTCAGTGTTTGGGCTGCCCAAGCTCCACAGTTAGCCAAGTATGAACACGAGGTGTCCGCAGGAGAAACAGGTCAAAAACAGCATGGTGGGGAAAGGGATCGTCCGTTATCACCCCACCTGATCCAGATGGAATTAGCAAACAGCTCTCATCAGCAACAGGAGGTTTTGTGTGTGTGTAAGACTCCCCCATCTGCATAATGTAAGTTTAAAATATGTGGATTTGATCTGAAACATCCAATTTATGTTTAGAACCATATTTTAAAGTAAGGGGAAATAATAAGGTATTTCTTTTACCGATTGTTCACAATAGTCTGCTATAGGATATACCTGAGATCCAGTGAATTTCAGCTTGCAGATTTCAGGATGAAAGATTCACCAGTTTTGCACTTAAAACTTTTAACAATTTTAAACGGAACAGCTTTTATGATGAGTTCTATCATTTTTGTATAAAACTTACACTATCTGAATGTATCTTTACATAATGTATCTTTACTGCTCAAAGCATGTGGATTGTATATTTTTAATATATTCCCCCAGAGGAATATGAGGCCTATTTTCTAATAATGCATCCTTGCTGCTGCACTGCTATGTGGTCTGCCAGCAGACAGTCTGGCAGGAAAATGGTCTCACCCACAGCAGCTTGTTTTTAAATTAAATTTTTTTGGAAATATTTGCTACTTAGTACTATCTCCTTCATCAGGCAGACAGAGATTTAGTGTCAATTTACCTCAATTTTCACCTCCAGGGATTTTTAAAACATTGGAAAGTGAGATTTTTTTTGGGGGGGGTGGGTCCTTTTGAATCAGTTTTTTGCCTGCTGAAAATCAGCACAGCTTCATGGATTCATCTGGGTTCCAGTGATCTGTATCAGCTGAAACTCAGACCTTTATGTACCAAGGTAACCTATTGCACTGCTGGAGAGCAGAGCTCCTCAGCAAGTCACCAGGGGCCATGCCTGTCTAATGGAAGCCCATGGATCTCTTTTCCTATTTCAGTGCTGTTTTTCTGATATCACCAATAAAAAGCTAATGAACCTCTCTCCTTGATCCCCAAATGGATTCATCCTCTTGAGTACCTTCTTAGCTCTTTAATACATAAATTAAAGCATCAGTCATTCGAACGTCGGGAAATCACCAGTCTTTCACAAGAAATGCTCTAGAGCACAGCTTTCTCACTAAGTATTAACACAAGGGTCACATAATCTTGATCTAAAGAATATTTACCTCAGGAGTAAAATAACACGGATGTGATTTCTTACCATATGAAGGGATTCCATAGGGTTGGCCAGGCTGGGGGTAAGTGGCATAAGCTGTAGCTTGTTGCATTCCCGTTGTAAACTGTGTCTGCCCATATGCAGCCATCGTTTGTGAAGAGGGGGTAGGAAGAATATGTGGGTAGGGTCTGCTATTGATTACAAATGACAGAAAATAAGACAAACACTGCATTAGACAGACATGCATGTACTTATTTTTAGTCTTAATATAATCCTGCTACTTCAGTAACACATAATCATAGGCCATGCTAGACAACAGAAACTATAAGACAGAGACAAAACAACAATAAGAAATCAATAATAAAAAAAAAAGTAAAATAAGAACTTACAGATATTTTTCAAATACATTCTTATAATTTAAAAAAAAAAAACCAACACATTTTTCCCTAGAAGCTGCTGTGGTTTAAATTATGGCTTAACAGATGGACCCAATTATTATTTTATATGATGTTAAAATCTGGCTATTTCACTTATTACTATTACTAGTACTATTATTATTTTAAAAAGATATCATACTTGGAAGGGTAAATCTGTGGTGGGGAGAACTGGTGTGTTTGTCTTGGGCTGAAACCACTGCTTCCAATTGCTGCACCAAGGAGAAAAGAAAGCACACAGAAGTGTAAATACACACACCAAAGATAAATATTATTTTTCCTAATAGAATTTCAGAGTATTAACAAGAGTTTAATTAAATTCAAATATCATTGATACCTTAGATAGAAAATAATATTTTATCAGGAACTACACAAGAATGCTTAACATTAAAATCTTGATCGCAAATCTCAAATACTAAATTGCCCCTTTGTACAACTCCTGAACGATAGTTTATTCTTTGGCTGTGCACAGACAACATTTTCAATGCAAACAACCTATTTCCTAATGGAAACATTTCCCTTCATATTTTCAAAGGGTTGTTGATATCTCAAGTGCAACATTTTATTAACTTTTAGAATTTTTAAGACCTACATTTTATGAAGGAGCTTTATGCGTGCTTCGATTGAAAACATATGGCCAGCTTCAGAGCACGTGCCTCTTTCTTAAAAAAAAAATAATTCCTGATACAGACTATGTATTACCATATTACACTTCCTTCTCTTTTCCTCCACCTTATCTGCTTTCCAAAATGCTTTCAGACCTTCAAATCAGTCAGTGTTGCATAAAGATGTACAAGGTGCAGATGTTGTTAGTGAAACACTTAAGCTGAGGTGGCTGCACCATGAGCTGCTCCCCCGGCAGCCCCACGCTGCTGACACAGAGCCTTATACCAACCCATCCCCATTCCCGTCAGTATTTTTGGGTGCTGCCGGGAGTGTGGCGGGTGTGCTGGCGAACTCTGCTCAGGGCGTTATTTTTGGGAGCCCTTCCCTCTCTGGTTTCTGTTTGGGTGTCACTTCTCCTTTAGGTCCCAAGGTGGGTTTGGAAGCCTTTGCCAGGAAGGGGTCAGCGGCAGGTTATGAGCCTACTGTAAAATCAGACAGTCAGAGAAACAACAGGCCCTACTGCTAAGTACTTGGAAATAAACAAGGCACGCATAATTACCCTCTGCCAGCTACCCCTTTCCTGGCCAGCTACAGGGAAAATCCATCATCTTTCTACTCCAGGAGTGCTTGTGAAGCATGTAGGGAAGCAAGGAACCTCTTTCTGTGCCTTCCACGCCTGATAATTTTTATTTTCTGCGGTCTGTGAGTCTGTAGACTTATCAAATGTTACAGTCCAACCTTTAGTCTGATCACCACAGACGTACATAACTAAACACACTGTCTTTTCTTCTTTCAGAAAACTAAAATACTCTAGAAATCTTTTGGGGGGCTTTCAGGTTTGATGCTTTCATATACAACAGCTTGTGCAGAAAATGGAGGCTGTGACAAGACTGGGAAAGGGCTAGCTACTTGGAGCCTGACTGGTTGCTAGATATTAAATTTTGCTTCTATAAAAATATAATCCCACAATATAGTATTAGATCCCTTTTTAATTTGATTTACACCATAAAAACTATGTGCTAGAAATACCACAGTTAGTCCATAGGTAGGCAAAACTGTGAAAACACCTCAGGTTGTTCTCACAGTGTTTGTCTCCTCTATGTCAGAAGCTGTGTCTGTCTTCCAAGAAGAAAAGAAGCTTGACAAAAGAATGAATACCTTTGCAATAATGAGTTACAATAAATGAGGAAGACCTACCCCTCAATTACAGTACTAATCACAAGAGGCAGGTATGTTTACTCACAGAAAAGAGAGTAATTACTCTGGGCCAGAATACTCCCTAGTGAGACTCCCACCAAACATACCAATGGGCATTAATAAGCCCAATACTGTAATGCTCCTTACTCAGGGAAAACTCCTGTTGACTTCCACTTAGATGAACAGAAATAGGCAAGAGTTGGAAAACGAGCACGGCTTTTTAACAGATGTGTACAGGTTCAGACCACACGGGATAAGAAAATCGTAAATGAAAAAATACTGAGCTTAAGACTTTTGTTTATTCCTTACCTGATCCTGAGAAATTGTCTAAAGACCCGTCCGTGGTAGTAGTAGTAGCAATCTCACTGCTGTTCATTGGTTCTGTTTTAACTATAGAAATATAAACAGAAGATATTCTATGTGCACCTAATATTTTCGCATGCTCATGCACACACACTCACTACAGACACAAACTCAATAAAACAAAAATCTGCCAAAAATGTTTTAAATCATGGCTATCGATATTTTGCATTTTATGTATTTGTGCATACAAACAATGCAAAGTACTGGCAGCTATGATTTACACATACATATAAGATGATCAAGAGGGTTATTTCTGTCCCCAAGGAATAAGAGCCAGTGTAACAAACCAGAAGTCCCCATGCAACTCTCTGCACCTGTCCTGATTCCTCTTAATCCTGCAGACCCAACAATAAGGGTCCACATTTAGATCAGGTCACAGCATTTACAGGCTTGAAAGACAGCATGTTGAATAAGTCAAAAAAGAACATAATTTTTAAATGTTTTTTACTGAGGGCTGTTCAAATTTTGTTTTCATTCAAGGAAATTTTCAGAGGAAAATTAAGAATTTGTGATGAAGTGAAACACTTTCCTTCTGGTGGATCTCTCCTCTCAAAATGAAAACCAATTTTATATTCAATGACCCTGAATAAACAAAGGCGACACAGTTCTCATCAGACACTTTAAAGAATGCTTTTATATTTTATTCCCTCTGCATCCACAACCCCACACAGCTATTCCAGAGTAAAAAAAGAATGAAACCAAGAGAGATTATCTCCTGGCTCATGCTTATTCATAATTAATAATTAATTAACTACTTTTAATAAAGCCTCAATTAAATAAACGATTTCTATTTCCATTGCTCCAGTGCAACTCTGCAATGACAGTATCCTGATCCATAGAGCAAGGACGGGACTGACCTGCCATGGATGTAAAATAGGCACAATCTCTACTCCCAGGCTGTCAGCAGATCAGCATGGCAATCTCTCAAATCCATTTTTACACATTTAGATTTTGGAGGATTTTGGAGTTACAACACACCAAAAGCAACTGAGGATGATGTGTCAGAAAACAATGGAGTTGATCTTACTACCAAGATCCCCCCCCTTTCACTCTTGTTGACACACACAGACGCCACTTCCCACACACCAGTGCTGGTGCATACCTGACCTTTCAGTGAGGCAGTTCTGTAACACTGTGGAAAGTAAATCTGAGAAAACCCAGGTAAACTGCACCCCATTTGACATGTAAAGCCTTAATGTCATCATACATGCATATATCTGTGCATGTATGTTTATATATATGTGTTCAAGTATATCATCACTAGCAAAAAGCTTTTGGTACCAGCTTTGGAAAGGGTGAGGCAGAGGCACTTCCCTCTTTTGACAAAAGACCTTTCCTTTCATTGCCAATCTAAATTTTTATTTCTGCATGTCTATTTCTTTCACCAAACCTTATCACGAGATTAGAAAGCAATCTCTCAAGATTTTACTAATCGCCCACTATTTCTTTTGACTCCCACATGGGGTTCTGTCTGCTAACTTGGGAAGTCAGCACTTAGCTCAACACAAAACTTTGCTATGTCTGCATTAACAAGCAGTGTATCCCAGTAAGAAAAGTTTGATGCAGTTAAATGGTTGGTGCAGGAGGTCCAGTTTCCATAGGTTAGGCATTTTTGAGGGAGGTTATTCAGCTGGAGAATATTAGCTGCACTTCTGCACCTTTTTTGAAAGAAGTGAAGTCCAAGAGACTTCACAAGGTGAAGTAACATGATAAGAAAGGGTGGCCAAGAGGTTCACTTCAAAAGTACTCACTCATGATCTGAACTGTAACTCTAATACAAAGGTATTTCTTAAAAACACAGCATATAAACTATCCACCATCCGTTTAATAACTAAATACTCAAAGTCTAACATAAGATGCAATAAAATATTTATTGCAAAGTGTCTATCACGAGTAATTTTTCAGAAACAACCAGACTTTTACAGGACCTTCTGCAGTTTGTCAGCCTAGATATGAAGAATTATAGCATCTACATTATCTTCTGCTTTTTCTTAGAACTGTATTTTCACAACTACATTTTACAAACTAATACTTCTCTCATAGACTACTCCAACTTTCCCCAAAATCTGCAAGTTTTCTGAACCTAATTTCCATAATGCACTTATCATTTTGGAAATAACAATGAAAGGTGCTTTCCTCTATAGCTGACAGTTGTGCTGGGGGAAAAGAGAGGAAGATAAGACAGATCAACCTAAATTGGAGTAGAGGGTGTAAGTTTTCAGTATACGCTTTCTCCAAACACTTCCTCTTCTCTACTGCAGCAATAATATTCCATATTGCTCACTTTTGGATAACTGCAAATTAGCAGTCCATGGACTACACTGAACCGCCTCACACAGCATAGAGAAGTATAGCATCAGTTGTTCTAGAAAAAAGCAGCCCTGCCAAGAAGGATTTGAGGGTGCTGGTGGATGAGAGGCTGTACATGAGCCAGCAATGTGCACTTGCAGCCCAGAAAGCCAGTCGTATCCTGGGCTGCATCAAAAGCAGCGTGGTCAGTAGGGTGAGGGAGGAGATTTTGTCCCTCTGCTCTCTGTGACACCACCTAGAGTACAGCATCCAGCTCAGGGGCTCCTGGCACAGGAGGTACATTGACTTGTTGGAGCCAGTCCAGAGGAGGGCAACCAAGATGAATAGAGGGATGGAGCACCTCTCCTACAAGAAAAGACTGAGAGAATTGGGATTGTTCTGCCTGGAAAAGAGAAGGCTTAGGGGTGACCTAACTGAGGCCTTCCAGTACCTGAAGGGAACCTACAAGAAAGATGGAGATGGAGATTTTACAAGGGCATGTAGTGATGAGACAAAAAGAAATGGCTTCAAATGGGCAGAGGGTAGATTTAGACTATTAGGAAGAAATTCTTTACTGTGAGGGTGGTAAGGCACTGGAACAGGTTGCCCAGAGAACTTGTGGATGCCCCAGCCCAGGAAGTTATCAAGGCCAGGTTGGATGGGGCTCTGAGCCTCCTGGTCTAATTAAAGCTGTCCTTGCCCAAGGCAGTGGAGCTGGAACTAGGTGATCTTTAAGGTCCCTTCCAACCCAAACCATTCTATGATTCTTTCTGAGTGGATGTAAATGTTTCTCTTGCCATTGTTTTAAAAGCGTTCTTCATGAGTCTTTACATCTACCTGGATCCTTGTTCAAGATACCATTTTTGGAAAAACCTCATCAAAATGGAATTTCTGTCTCTATGACTCATGAGCAATACTTCAGTGCAACATAGTTTATAACTGAATGCTGTTTACTAGACATACTAATTTCGAAGAGAGAGGAAAACATATGAAATACAATGCCGTGCCTTCTTATGGAAATTAATTTAGTTGCTGACTGAGGTGCTCACAAATTTTTCATAAAAGCTTTTCCTTATGTCTCTTCTCTCAGCTGTTGTATCTCCAGAATATAAAAAACCCACCATATAAGAAAGGATGTTCACATTATTCCTAATCTGGATACCCATTACTTGGGTGATAATAAATATGCCATCTTTAGGAACAAGTATGACCTTAATGAACCTTTGTGTTGCTGATAGTTGGGAATTGAATAAAAATGGATAGGGACTGAGAAGCTCTCCACTCCCCAAGCATTTCAATCAAAATGCCTGAAAATTACTGCATATTTCCTTTTATTAGCCTAAGGACATTTCACGAGGATGAAAGTTTGCTATACAAAAAAATAAACTGAGAAGAACAGCCATGGAGGTTACCTTTTGGAAATATTTATCATGCGTATTCTTACTGCAAAGGAAAGGTCTCTAATTTGTCCAAGACTAAAACTGACCTGCAGTGGAGCATATTTCATCCCAGAATCATGGGGAAAGAGAGCTGCAAAGGGACTGCCTAAGGTTACAAGTCTCACAGTCTGTCCCAGGAGCATATCAGTAATCCACACCTATCATGAGAGACATGTGGAGCTGTGCAAGGAAGCCAGGCTTTGGAGGGGCATGGATCTGGCCCTGCCGCATGCTGCTTAAGCATGCTCTGAATTTCAGCTCTTCACATTTTCCACGACAATTAACATTTCTGCAACACGTCCTAAGCTTTCAAAAGATGACACTGGGAAATGAGTGGGAATATTGTCACATCTACACAGCACACATTGCAAGCTTGCCAGTAACTGCCAACACCATGCTCAGTTGTGGCAGACACCAGAAAGTGACACAGGAGAGTTCCAATTTCTGCCACTCCTTTATCAAAACTGACTTTTACAGAGATGCAGAATCATCAGACTTGAATTGTAGAGAACAGACTCTGATTTAGCAATGTACTACTAAGTTTTAGTGCCAACAAAATCACTCATGTAATAAAACAGATTATCAATAAAAAGTTCATGGAGAAATCTAACATATTCTTAACCTGCAGTAAAAATGCAATGTTTATTTAGAACTACTGATATAATTTTGGTTGATATACTAAGGAGTTTAAGAAACTATGTCAACAGAGAGATATTTTTCCTCCTTATTTTTCTTTTCTAGCAATTTGTGAGATTCTAAAAAAACAAGATTTAAGAAAAAACTGTGTAGGAAAAAACCACAATACAATAATAGAAAAAAATAAGACTAGCAGATAATAACACAAGTGTTAGCTTGGAGCAAAAAAAAGCACAAAAATTCAGAGATGGTGTAACTGGTGATCTAATGTTATATTGATTGTCAAGATATTTCTTCTTAAGACACTCAGAGACTGCAAGTGCAAGATGGTGTTTAGTCAGACATATTGCAAAAGGTGGCTAAAAATTACTTACACAGCAGTTTCTGAACTCTACCAAGAAAGAGAATTTCAGACCAGAACCCACAGGTTCATGTGCCTTGTTGGCCAAGTAACAACTTTCTTAGTTCACAGCTTGTCATGCAGTTTCTGGTGTACGTATCAGTGAAGAGTGCTATGAGAAATGAGATGCTGGCTACTTTAAATATGGATTTAGAGACCTAATATTTGGCTACTCCTAACACAGAAGTTGTAGGAATACCTCATAAAGATTGCACCTTCAAACGTGCAAAAGGTAAGGTTTTTAAATATCTTTCTAAAATTGC